ACGATAGATGCTGGCAAAACACCAATATGGGCGAGGGTGAAAATACAGCTGCTGTCATAAAAATTCAGCTTGAATCAAAGGTCAGGCTTGCCAAATTTCAGCTCTCGCAGCTATCAACAAAAATAAACATGTGGAGGCGGCACCCGCCTCCCCCCCCCTCTCCTCTCGGCCACTGCCAGCGAGGTTTTAAGCGTATCATACATGTTACAAAGCATCATATTAAGATGACACACCCCAGCAGCCATATGCGCTGAACAAAAACTTATTACCCACGCTAGTCTATCGGCACCATAGCACATGGTCGAGACTGTCGTCAACCACGGACGCGCACTCGACCAACCCTCTGAGCTCGTTGACTGCGGGTGACCTTGACATGTCAAGCCTGATCGGCGGCCGGCCGCTGTCGTGCGGTCGTTACACGCGGAGGGGAGGGAGACACAAAGTTCTACGTTATAGCTGACCTCTGACCTTTCCTTGCGCCGGTCACTGACCCCGCTCCATGTCGTTGGGCGGTGGCATGACGGTGGAAACCGGTTCTAGCCTCTACACATGCCACCATCCTAACCCTCCCCTCCCCACGCTACTACGCGGCGTGGAATACGCTCGTGGGTAACTGGGCGGAGCAAGGGGTCACGCGATACAGGGGCGGAACTGGTTGCCCTCCCGCTCGCCGAGCGACCAACGACTAATACCCTGGAGAACCGTACGTACATATTTCGCGACATTTTATTTTTCGCGCGCTCGTAAAAAAAAAACGCATTCGTTCATTATCAAAGTACTTGCATTGCGACTGAAAATGTCGTGCATTCGGTGACGAAGAAATTATTTACAGTGATAAAAAAATGACAAGTAAACAATTACTACTAATACAAGACGAAACTGAAGTTGTCTTATTCTAATTTGAATTTGGCGTATTCGAATTTGATCTTGAGTAAGACGAAATTGCATTTGACTTATTCCAATTTGATGTTGGTATATCTCAATTTGAGCTTGATGTATCCGATTTTGTATTTGACGTCAGCCAATATGGAGTTGACTTATTCGAATTTGAACTTGACTTATTCGAACTTGAGCCTAAAAAGGTGTAGAATCATATTGAACATCAGATGGGTACCTAAATTAACGTAAATTCAACCCAAAGTCAAGTTTCTGAACTGTTCTGCATCGTGAATTTTGTCATGCATGGCTTAAATTATTGATGAGGTTCAGCACTTCGTAATTCAAATTATTATAAATTTGACTTTGATTCACCAGTGTTCCATGATCCATCCAATCAAGGCAGTAGGATATACCAATATTCTCCATGGCTATATCACTTTAAAGTTTCATTACCAAAGCCTTTTTGAGTCACAAGTAGGACGAACTTTGGTTCGTTTCAAAAATAAAATACAAATAAAATTACTTGAAAATGTTACGTTGAAAAAAAATGCACACAAATAGCCATAACACAGCCATAAACACTTTTGCGTAATTATCGAAACGTGTGCGCAATGTCTGTAGCACATTGATACACCATAACTTGTAGCGAATTGTAGTTCGCTTCTTTCACATCAGGTGGCTTTGTGTCGTGTATGACGTCATATCCATAAATTACGTCATTACTTTAAATTTAGTTTTTCATTATTTTCATCAAAATTCGGCCAATTAATGGCATGTAGCCATCCATTTAGGTATTATCGACTATTTTCAAGTGTTCTGGAACCATCCACTCCACTTTTTCAAGGTGAACATATCCCTTTAACCTTCGCCCCAGTGGGGGGGGGGGGGGGGGGGGGGGGCATATGTTACCACCCTGTCGCGTTTTTTGCGTGTGAATAAAAAACCACGGCGCGTAGCGCCGCGCCGCTTGGGGTAGCTTTTGGTACATCAATTTTGGACAATGTGTGAAATTTTTGACCCCAGGTAATGTCAGGTCAGGTCACCAGGTCAAGTTAATTGACCAAGCCTAAAAAAGTTTGCAATCATGTCCAGCCTGCAGTGTTTGTCAGAAAGGTTTGAAACTTGGTGGATTGCATGATGTTATGGGCGCCTACAATTTGTATATCTCGGATTTTTTATATCCGTGACCTAAAGTCAGGTCAGTGGCGTGACCTTTCCATTACAAGTCAATGGAGAAAAATGAAAATGCCTCTAGATCCGTGTGTACGCATCGGAACAGTCCAAATATTTCAGAATCACAATGATTTAGTCCACTCGTGATGACCAAGGTGTCATTTTTACTGATAGCCTCTAGACAGGTCATCCGAGGTCACTTGAGGCTACAAACAGTTTTTTGCCAATAACTCGCGATTGGAAAGAGATAGAACGCTGGGGATGGTCTCATTGTGTTTGCCTTGTTGAGACGCATCGACTGATATGCAACATGACCTTTTCCGGTAAGGTCATGAACTTGACCTGAGGTCAAATTTTGAAGTTGACCTTTCAAGGTCAAATTATAGTTCATTCGACGCGTCTCGGCAAGGGGAACACGATTCTGGCAATAGAAATGTCGTGGCTTTTTGTAGTCGAAAGTTATTGTCGAAAAACACTTTTCGTAAAAACAGCTATTTTTGGAGTTTTTGCCCTCTGGAGGCTAAACCGTTGACCTGAGGTCAATATTGATAATGACCTTTTCAAAAGAAGAGTTCAAAAGCTATCGATTGCTCTTCCATGCGTTATTCTAGCTACCATAGTTCCTGAGATAGCGGCATGTTTTCTGAAAAATATAATGACAATTCGCAAATTTTGACCTTTGATGACCTCTGGTGACCCCGATATTGCTCTAAGATGAAAAATGACCGAAATACTTTCCAACGTACGCATTGAGAGCTATCGACTGCTTTTTACCGCGTCTTTCTATCCTTCTTAGTTTTTGAGTTATAGGTGGGTGGTAACATATGCCCCCCCCCCCCCCCACTAGGGCGAAGTTGGCCGAGACCGCCACTGGGGCGCGGGTTAAGCTTTTTATTGTTGAAGATGCGATCGACTTGTTGGGTAACAAGCCGGCCATGATCGTGTAAAATGGCTTCATCGTAGATCGAGGATCGATTAGTTGCTGAGATATAATCGGAAATGTAAAAGTGCAAAACCTACCGCTTAACCTCGCGAGACCTGCTGTGGGTACTACACGGCAGCGGATCTTATTTCATGTATCGTTTGCCAGAGTAGACACTATCAGAAGCGGACTGTTTGTGAGACTGCCGAGGGTTGTGAACGAGTTCTTGTTGTAACGTCCGCTGGCAGACATTTTAGATGATTCTCTGTATACATTTCGCACTCACGTACTTGCACAAGTATTTCACTTTAGATAGTCTTGTGATCAGTGTTTGTGTCTCGTTTATCAACGTATTCATTTTATTAGTTTATTTTTACAATTGCCTTTAGAATGATTATTTTATCATGCATTTTAACTTCATGAATGCCTGTAATTGGGAGTTCCCGTTAGCGATGAGTTGAATAAATAAATAAACATGCCATTGTTACGGATAGGTCCAATTGACCTCATGGGCTGGTTCAATTGACCCTCGCATCGGGGTCATTTGAAACGGGCGTAGAGTTGTTTTATAAGCATGCGTTTGGCAGCAAAATATGTTTGAAACATAATTTCACATATCTTAAAATAAAGCCAAAAGAGTAGGTATATTCTTCCATGGTATTGTGCATTTTTAAACATGGCAACTAGATCTCGCTGTGCATGCCAATATATAGGTAAAAAGTGGTTCAACTGGCCCCACTCTCCCCTATCAGGAGACCTCCACGCCAGAAACTGATTTTGCTCGAAACTTTGACATGACGCGGCAGGATAGGTTTTAATTTCTCGAAAGTTTTTCTTATACAGCTGGTCTTCGGTTGTCCTGGAGCAAAGGAAAATCATTGGAGCACCGTGATCTGTGACTACTGACTAGCGACACGCCCTATTATACAACTTTTTTTAACAGAAGTAAAAGTTGCCATTTTCTAATGAAATTAACGTTTTATTAATTTTGAATAAAACTACGAGAGGTTAAGTTTTGACATTTGTCCTCCAGTTAGTTCTACCCTACCCATGACAAATGATTAGAAACTGGTTATTTCACTCACTTATATTAGACATCGTACAGGTGGGGCGGCCAATTTACACCACCGGCCAAATTACCCCAACCTCCCCTACCAATTGAACAGAACTTTGAGTGCGAATGCTACTAGCGTGCTGATGGTGCTGGCGCCGGGGCTCCAGCGTTTTGCGATGACGTCATAGCGTAGCGTCAGAGTGAAGTTTCTTGATATTGCCATGGAAACCCAACGTACCGCCGCGCGCAGCGCTCTGCCGTGAAACACCGCCCCGCAGAGCCGAGGGCCACCCACGGCGGCCATTCGACGCGCGGCGAACCGTGGCGCCGATGGATTCATGGTTTTCGTTCAATGACTAATACAAAAAAAAAACGTTCAAATGTGTTTGATAGCAATGTGCCACCAAAAATAGTGATAATGATACACAAAAAAAAAACAAAAAAAAAACGAAGATACAAACCGCTTATAATAAAAATATAGGACGGTTAACTTTAGTTCGCGTCACTTTCGCCTGCTTTAGCTACTATTTTCTTGCTGCATGAAACTGAAATATTTAGCGATTGCCGATGTCACACATGTGACGTCATACGCCGAAGGGCGGAGCCTGTCACCCGAGACCCCTACTGCGCATTCCTGCTGCAAAATCTTACAGTAGGATGCTCTTGCCGAACAGGGCCCTTATCAACCTCCGACGCTGATAAAGCAACTAAACTCGCTACGGGCAAATACTCTCGGAGCTATATACCCGAAGGAGACAAACACTATTCTTTAGAATTGTTTTTCTATTGAAAAACAAACTAAGGGTAGGTACAGCCACGGGTTGGGTTTCCAAAATACCCACTTAGTTTTCAATGCGTTATCTGTTGTTTACACACCAGCATCAAAGTTTAGAATTTTCGGTTGGTTCTCATATGCTTTATTGGCACTTACGGGACACCTCCTGGACGCCGGGTTTATGCCCAAAAAACTTCTTTTCACGAAAATATTTATTAGATGAACGAATCTTCTCTTGGCTAAGAGCAGAACAGCCGCCGCCGAGTGCTATCCCACACGGCCACGAACACAGGACGCTCCGCTGGACCAGCGCTACCCGCGCCACTTCTCAGTCCAGGAACATAGCAAATAATCCACATCAGAAAAGCTCTGAACCCTGCTGCCCGAGTGCTGGAGGGGGTACAGGCGCGACACCACTTGGCGGATGGCGGAGCGCTCCGGCAGACCTCCCGCGGACCGGTCCGAAATATTTACACACAGAGAGACGGACACAGTGCTGGCGGCCCGGTGGCCGGTTGTACTGGGCTGGGTGGCCGTCGAGCGCCATCGGCAGGAATGTGCACCGGCCGCTCTTGGCTGCGCTGTCCGTCCTACAGGAAGAACAGCTCGTTGGCCAGGTCCAGGTGATGCTGCTGGTGCAGAGACTGGCCCACCAGGAACGCCAGACGGTGGGCGTAGTGGCTCGGCGCTGGCACACGCACCGTAGACTGTGGGACAGCAGCACGGCGCCTAGTCAGCCGGGGCGCACTAGCCCCTCCTCCCACCCAGCCAGGCCATTTACATTAGGGGCTTGTGGCGTTAAAGGGAAAACATGTGACTGACGACTGTGATGAGCATCATTGTTTCATTGTTAGTCTAGTTTTAGTGAGAATGATGAAGTAGCCTTTACTCACAATCGAAAAATGACGAAAACTCTCTCTCTCTCTCTCTCTCTCTCTCTCTCTCTCTCTCTCTCTCTCTCTCTCTCTCTCTCTCTCTCTCTCTCTCTCTCTCTCTCTCTCTCTCTCTCTCTCTCTCTCTCTCGCTCTGTTACAGGGATTTTGAGAAATCCATGATATTGCAATCAGTGAGCTTGCAAATTCACTAGGGAGTTTGCAAACTCACTGACCGGTCAGGGAGTTTGAGAAATACCAGAGTGATTGGGACATCTAAAAACAAGTGTGCAGCATGTGGGTGTCATACGTGCCGTCCGTGATGTTAAAACAAAGGCGGCTAGTTGTACGGCCTTTCTAACAGTCGCACGCTGACAAAAAGCATACAGATCATATGCACACCATACTTAGATTTTAAACTGTTCAGTGATCTAGTCCAAACATGTACCGCCGCTTTATTTAGTCATACATTTATTAAGTTCACGGCCAAATTGTATCCGTTGGCTATTCCAGAGTCAGGCTTAATATATCGAAGTAGAAACAGCTCAGTTGGTCATTTATGCTAAAGCATGTAAGGCATACGTGTGGAACGGATACAATTGGGCCGTGAACTAAATAAATGTATGACTAAATAAAGCGGCGCTACATGTTTGGGCTAGATCACTGAACAGTTTAAAATCAAAAGTATGGTGTGCATATGATCTGTAAGCTTTTTGTTAGCGTGCGACTGTTAACTCGCGCCCCACTGGGGTCTGTGTATAACACGCCCTACTGGGGGGGGGGGGGGGGGCTATTCATAGCCCCCCTCCTAACCCCGAAACTACTGGGCCGATCGTCAAAATTCAAACGGCGTCTGATAGCCCCGGAAAAACTGTCGAGCGAAACCTAATTTCATTGACCTCGAGGTCACCGATGACGTCACAGGTCAGGTCAAAGTAAAAATTATTAGCATTTTGGCTTGTTCACATTTTGGGCTCTGGCCGCCGTCTTAGAAGTCAGATCAGGCTAATTTTTGGTTTCCACACTCGTGAACAGATGCTCTAGATACCTTGAGGGTACCAAACTTGTACTTTGATTTTCAGGTCAGGGTCAGGTCATCACAGGTCACGAAAATATTATATCATCCGTCGGTCACGTGACACATGTTTTATGGTCCATTTAGGCCATAGATTTCGAATTTGATGTCGTCTGTGTCATTCGAGGTCATTTTGAGTCGAATTTAGCTTAGGTCAGGTCACTTTCAGGTCAAAAAAGGTCAATTTTTGAAGTTAAAATTTTTCAAGAAAAAAGGTGTCTATTGGATGCAGTTTGAGCTCAGGAACACGATGGTGCCATTTATATTGGTGTGTGATGTCAAATACGTACTGAAAAATTGATTTGAAAAATTAATAATTGTGAATTTTTTGCAATAATGCGTATAACTTGGCCATTTTTGAAGATATTTAGCTAAAACTTGCTAGAGTTAGTCATAATCATGCGTTCTGTCACATATATTCCGTTTTTTTTCGAAAAGTCAAAAACTTTTTGAAAAATATAAAAATATAAATTTTGAATATTATTATATAAAATTTTCGAAATTTTCAAAATTTTGAAAATCCGAGATAGCAGTTTGATAGCGCGGTCAATTCTGAGTACTTTCATGCAAAGAAATTGGACCTAGCTTAAAAACTGAGCCCTTGGGAGCGATTGCCGTGGTTCAATGTTTTGCGTCGAAATCGGACGAACATGACGTCACTCTGACGTCATTTCCGGCCGACCTATGGTAGCTACAAAGTTCAAATTTTGACACAAGGTGTCAAATTGATGCAGCCGAAGGTACTGAAAGTTTGGCGTCGATCCGTCAAGCGGTTTGGAAGTTATTGCAGAAAAACAGGAGGGGGGCTACCCCCCCAGTGGGGCGCGGGTTAAATAGGCCGTACAACTAGCCGCCTTTGTTTTACCATCACGGACGGCACGTATGCCACCCACATGCTGAACACTTGTTTTTATTTGTCCCAATCGCTCTGGAATTTCTACACGACAGCATGTTTGGTGTTATTCAGCTTTTTTGTTTCATTTTCGAGACGTCGGACAGAAACTTGGGACGCTGCATGAATGCTAAAGGCGACTGTACCGATTCATACCAGCGAGGAGTTATCCGGTCGTATGTACGTCGAGCTCTGACTCATTGTTCTATCTGGCCACTTATCCACAGTGAGCTGTGGATATATCCACACCGATATCCACTCCGATACAGTAATAGTGACTTTGACGACGTATCACGTTACCTTCTTGACAAGTACAGGTCTCGCGGGTTTTAGAGGTAGGTTTTGCACCTGGAAAATTTAGTGTACTTCACGCTATATCTTCGTCGTCTTAAGCTTTTACGTGTCGAAGATGCGATCGACTTGTTGGGTAACAAGCCGGCCATGATCGGGTAAAATGGCTTCATCGTAGATCGATTAGTTTCTGAGATATAACTGGAAATGTAAAAGTGCAAAACCTACCGCTTAATCTCGCGAGACCTGTACATGACAAAGTCGACAAACACGATGCACAACAAAAACGACCAAGCTACCAACATAGCCATATACTACAGAAACACCCTCACACCATCCTTGAAAAAAAGATGAAAAAGCTATGCGTGACATCATCACAAAAAACGTCACTCCGGTCAATCCTGAGCACCGCATACGCTTCAAAATTTACTACTAGTCACCACGGACCTCCTCACTTATAATGCGTAACAATCAACAGACCACTACACCACAGCAAGAAACCAATGTAGTATACCGTTTTAACTTAAGTTTTCTACCGGGGACTGTGCAACCCGCAACGTATACTACATTGGTGACACAACTACAGGGTGTTTCACAATTACCGTTACAAGAGTTCCCACTCTATTTTGGTGCACTTAAAGGTGTTTTTTTCTGAAAACACTATACACCATTGGAAAGAGCACATAATTCTGGTCCTGGTTAATTGCATTTTGAATGCCCTTTGGACAGATAATGGGTGTAGCAGATGAAAGACTGACCCAAATGAGGTCCGAGTCTGCGATTATCTCGAATATCAGGATCAGAGACTGTGTGATAAGCTTGTTGCTCGCGGACCTGTTTGAAGACGGCTGTACATGGCTGCGTGATGTAGTCAACAGGTATCTATTACGCACCTCCTGTATGGATTTCAAGTCTTCAACGCACAGGCTTCAATGGCAATGACGTCATTTTCTACCTCGTGCCTGGCAGAAGATCCCCGACGCGGTTGTGAGTGCCGCAGTCCGTGACTTCAGGAGACGGTTGGCTGCCGCTGTGAAGGCTGGAGGCGGCCACTTCGAGTAGGACTTAAGGATGTTGGTCTCTGTGGTTTTGGGTGCATATGGTGCAATTTTGGCGGAAATAAAGTCATTATGCCCAGTCCCCAGAGATATTGAGCTTTGATCTTGTAACGTCAATTGTGAAACACCCTGTACATCACTGAGCCGCCGACTGACTAGACTATGCACTTACAAGACGGAGGACCCAAGGCACGTCTTCATGACCAACACGGAACCCGACTCACGAGAGACTTACTGACAAACAACAACACAATAATAGCGCGACAAAACGACAAACGACGACTGGCCATCACTGAAACCATCAATCATCCGCGACACATCACCCATCATCAACACACACATGAAAACTCTGACAAACACTCCACTGTTCGACGGACAAATGATGTAATGCGTGAAAGTTGAAACGATGTGTCATCTGTGAATTGTGGTGGTTTGTTGCTGTTATGCACGATCCAATGTGAATATTCACGGTAACGATGTTATGACCTGTGTATTTAGCTGGATGTAGATTTGTGTTCGAAAGAGTGGTGCCATGAAACAAATAGGACGATGTTTGAAGAAATGTTAATATTTTATTCATCTGTGACATATATTGCGCGGCATCATTTGTGTATATTCATTTCTCTGATGATGATCAATGTTGATCGAATAATGTTCCAAAATTTGTCGATTTGGATGGGTAAAGACATCCAAATGAAATTCATTTTACACTCTCGCACCCAATTTTTAAGAACAATTTTCCACTCCCAGCCAAGAAAATCTAATTTTTTTGCCTATAGAAAGAGCAGTTGTGTGGATGCCCAGCTTAGCATCAAGCATCCTACACCTTAGAATCAAATGCATGCTTTTTGTTGTTTTTCACTCTTTTTGGATCTAATCAAATCAGCAGTTTTTCATTCTCTCTCCCCTCTTTTTGGTGGGTAATTTTCCCCTCTGACACCCAAGACAAAACTCAATTTTGGGACACTGTGATCGAAAGCTAAGATAAATATAACAGCGAACGAATTATGAACGAACTTTAATTTACATCCTAATGAGTTACCGATTTACGACAACTTGAATCTCGATCGCAGCCATTGCTTCCTTTGTTGATTTACTTTTCTCTTTGAACGATGAGGAAAGAAGTACTGTCCGACGTCTCGAAAATAAAAAAGCTGAATAACACCAAACATGCTGTGGTGTTTAATGACATATGTATCAGAGAGAACCTGCTTCCCAAATATTCTGATATATATATATATATATATATATATATATATATATATATATATATATATATATATATATATATATATATATATATATATATATATATATATATTTATATATATATATATTTGTGAAGTTAGGGAGCAGTCCATCTTTAATACATTTTTTTGTCAAACACGATAGCGTAATGGGCGTTGGTGATCTTCTTGTGGTTTTGCTCAATACTCCGCACTATGCTTTTCGTACCCGGGTCAAGTTGGCTAAGCACCTCTCCAAAAGTCGACATTTTATTCCAACGTTTCGTCAAACTTATGACATTATCAAGGAACAAATGATGAGTGATACAATGATGATGTTGATATGATACATTGCAGTTCGGTCGATACTAGTCGTTACTCATAGTTGATTACATTGATAACATGATAACATTCGGTCGATACTAGTCGTTACTCATAGTTGATTACATTGATAACATGTAAGAAGCATATACCTATGTCGCATTCGTTATGAACACACGAAAATTCAAAATAAATGTCACGAAAAAACTAGCTCACAAAAAATCATTACACACGGATAATCACAAGGAGTCCCTCCGGGCAGGTGACCCCAGTTTCAGGACAGCGACAAATCAAAAAAGGTTCCACAATGTAAGTATGCCATCATGATCCTGTTGAGTGTTAATTAGGAGCTTTCGCATCCTGATGAGCACAGCTTCAGTAATTTGAAGTCTATGGCGATTACTCTCATGAGCGAGGATGGTAGTATTGTCGGTGAGGTCAGTACGAGTAAGTTTCCGTTTGTGTGCATCTTGCAAAAACGTAATAATTCTTCATTCAACGAGCTGCCCAGGACATTCTTGAAATCATAGGCATGTTTTTTCGTTTTCCAGTGAAAGCTGAATGCCAAAATAACAACATATAGCGAAAAAAATGTTATCAAATATTAATATGCGTCTCTCACAGCCGGCAACAAGGCGCAATAACACAACTCAGTGTCACGATGGATCAAAGTAAGCCACACAAAAGCGTGAAATGACCCTTATCGACTCGCAGACCCGGCGCTATCGGCTGTCTGTCTGACGGGGCACGGAAGGGACGTTTAGCTGCCGTCCTACTAAACGGACGTCATATATGTTAGTTAAACGGTTCATAAAACAAGCAACCACCAGCCCACCGCTGCCCAACTGATAATTTCCAGGTTTGATTTTTTTTTCGCCGTTAGAGGGGGTCTTTCCCACCCTGGGCATCTTATCCCACTCTCCCTATAAGCTTCGCAAAAACGTGACCACGACCGGAAAGCCGGCCGCTTATACTCAGAAATTTCCGTTTACCTACGAAAGACTACGCTCGCTTCGCTAGCTCCGTAAGTAACAAAAAATGTTACAATTGACCCCAGTCTCCCCTATGTAATCAATAATCATGCAATGAATGATATAAAAAACAATAATAGCCTTCAAATATGGATTTGAAGTTATTTTCACAAAGTTACGTCAACATCGGAAAGGATGAGGTCGGAATTGCCAGTTTTGCATCCGGTTGGCGTGGAATATGCCCCATGGATGATGTCAGCAAACGTGTAGGTCATCAAATGAGACGACTTCACCCTAAGTCGGCCCAGCCTAATGGTGATATGTGATTCACGAGTCTGCTCCCAGTATGCCATTTGGCCGAATGGACGCGCGCCGGCTACTCACCGAGAGGTTGAAGTACATGTGCGCCAGCTTGTACGAGAGCATCTGCAGGTGCTTGGGCATGTAGCTCGTCTCGTCCAGAATCACGTTGTACATGGTGGGGGTGACGGTGCCAATCCGAGTCTTCTGCGAGATGAGGTAGAAGTCGTACCTGCGGCGGAGGCGAGTGGTCAGCGGCGGCCGGTCCAACCGCGGACCGCTGGCACCCACCAAACACACCCTGGGCGCGGCGCGCCGACTCACCTCTCCGGACGGGTGATGACGTCGTCAACCACAGTGCCCGGCGGCGGGTTGTCCACGCCGCCGCCTCTCCCCTGCGCGAACACGCGCGTGTTGATGTTCTTGGTGACGATGATAAAGCAGAGCCGCGTCGGGGCGTTCAGCTCGGTGATGGCCGCCTTGATGCGGTCGATCTCATGCTGGTGCACGTAGCGCAGCGATCCCTCGCCGATGCCGTCGCGGTAGACGATGACATTGGTCGGGAAGCTGCCGTTGATCTCACGGTAGCGGCACATGGACACTGCCGGCACACAACACATTCTAACTGAGGCACGCGCCAACACGCAGGACATACACCGCCGAGAGCACGCACGGGCAGAACCGTGCGCGCTTCACCGAATGGGAGATGGCAACAACTCAGCTCTTATCACTGCTGTAGGCAACGTGCATTGCTTTTGGATGGTGGCTCGCCACTTAAAGGTAGTGTGCCACCTTTGAAAGATTTCCCATTTTATTTTTCCTAGGATAAGAAGCTTCTGTTTTTACCTAATATCACAAAGAAAATCAAAAATGGGCCTGGAATAGTGCCTTTTTCGCCTAAAAGTTTATCGGTTTTTCGATATGTATAACAACTGTAGTGGGCTGACCTGCAAACAGGCGTCGGCAACAATCGCGAATGCGGGGCACATGTGACAATAAGCAAAGGTCATTATAGAGGGACGCCGGTGAAAACAGGGCGCCGGAGGGCATATTAGTCACGTGACATTTGGAGGTTCTCCCCCTCCGTGGGCCCTCTATATGCTAAACGTCACGTGTAAATTTCACGAACCTTGATCAAATCGTCCCAGGCGCCCTGCTTTCACCGTCGTCCTTATAGAGTTACGACGTACGGGAATGAGTTATCAGCTGTCTCATCGTAGACAACACAATGTCGAGCCTTAAACTGTAAGCCTGTATTGGTATTGTTTCTTTTATTTGGCTGTCGAACATTATTTATGGTTTGAAATATGATTTTATGTAAAATAATTGATATGAAACAGCCGTCTCTAAAGTTATGACCCCATCTCACCACATGAAAGTGGCAGAAATGACAATGATCAGCTGACGCATTTTTCTTGGCCGAAGTCAGAGCGCGCGGCCCGACGCACCACCACCGCACCACAAAGTATGAGCAGAAGCCGCGCCCAAAGCCAGGGCCCCGGTAACGTGAGGTAGCCGAGTCGAGGCACCGTGCGCTGACCCAAGCCGGGGCCGCAGCTTTGGGCGCGGTCTACCGCATCCCCGCGGGCAGCCCCGGGCTACCACATGACACCGGGAGGACGCGCGGCCCCGGCTTGGGTCAGCGCACGCTGCCCCGACTCGGCTACCTCACGTTACCGGGGCCCTGGCTTTGGGCGCGGTCTACCGCACCACCTAACAGGCGTGTTCGAAACCGCAGGAGATGATGATGAACGGGTTTATCGAAACTTGATTGGATGAGCATATCGGTAATAGCGATTTCAGTGTGTGCATTTATTGTTCGTAGTGGTGTGAAATGTGGTTGGGGTACGACCGACAACCCGTCGGGGCGAATTTCGCACTGGGGTACTCAAAATTTGAAGAATTTAACCCTCGCATGTGTAGGGGGGGGGGGGGGTCGGATGGACACCCCCCATGGTTTTTCGCGAATAACTCGCGTAAAAAGCGGCCGATCGCGACGAAACTTTCAGTACCCTCACATTGATCAATTTTACACCTACCCTGAAAATTTCATGACCCTGACCCAAATGACCTTTGACCTGTGACCTCTTTTCCGAGACCATGTTTGGCCGGAATCGCGATTCTGCGTATGTCGGCTCGCATTAGCCGCGCGTTTGCAAGCTTTTCGTGGTTTCAAACGTTCAAACATGTGATTTGATGTTGCTTCCATGCATTAGGGTGGGTGTCAAGGTCACCGGAAGGTCAGGTCAGGTCATTGACCTTTGGTGACCTCGGGTGACCTCGGTTCACTTTTTCGAGCTGTACATGTTTCTAGGCTAGTTTTTGGAGCTGAATTCGAATTTAGCAACCATTTGAACATTTACGAAGTAGTTTTGGTACCTTCGCAACATGTTACGAAGCTGTCAGAGGCGGTTGACACGTACTACGAATACCCGTCACGACGCCTACTGGTTGACCTGACCTGACCTGACCCGACCTGGTCTAAATGCTTAAAGACATCATCTGTGATCAAAACTAACACGATATTCGTGATCAGCACCCCGAAAAACCCCTTAACAACCACACTTTACGACTTTCTAACAGGTCCCGATTTTCCCGACTTTGGGTCATTGACCTGACCTGGAAGGTCAACCAATGACCTAGGACCTTAAAATTGGGTATCATCGGCTTCCTCTCGTCACGGGCAACACGCTCGTTTTTTCTGCGAAGCTCTAGCTCGATCAGGGGCCAAACGGCAAGGGGGGTCCAACCGACCCCCCCCCCCTACACATTAGTAGCTGGCAAACGCCGCACACATGCGAGGGTTAAGACGTTTCCACGAGTTTTGAAGGTATGGTTAAGTTCTAAAAATCCGGTTCTCCTTATCTGGGCCATTAACTCAATACGGTCCAGGAAAGCTGGCACACTACCTTTAACTCATTAACGCCGAGTGGCAACTACATTTGTACAAAATTTGTATAGTTGCCAGCTACAAAAACCTACCGCGGAAGGCAAGGTAATAAATTCAGAACAACAATTGTGGGATGCGTGCAATTTTTGAAACTGGGTAACCTCTGTCTGTGAGCTTCTAGTCAGTTTTCAATTGATAGGACTGCATTTTCAGCTGCTTTCCGGAACACGAGTCTGCTGCCGTACAAGGGTCGTTCAAAACGCTGTTAGTCTCGCATGGTTTCGTCCTTTTAGCCACCGTTTCTATTAAATGATCATCATGTTGTACTCATCCTTGCCGACACTTTGCCATGTGTCATTTCCGACCTAACCATTCCCATTACTCCTGAAGCAGAGTTTCTCAGCCGACCCAATTTTGCGACCTCCATTTTCATGCCTGATCCATGGTCACAGGTGAACCCTTTTTGTGTGCTCAAGAAGGGTCGAATGCGCTTGAAAACAATAAAACTGCTTGAGGAAGGTTGTTACCAATGCCCATGCAAAATTTCGACTGTTAATTTCTTTCGTTCGAGTTCGGAACGGTCATTTGGGCAGGCGCAGCCACTTCCCACACAGTTCGCGTCGATCGGATTCAGCACAAGTTTCTCCTCTGGTTAAACCACCACTCCAACAATCCTTGCCCATCACTTACCTATCCAGATTTATCCAAGCATTTCCGTGTCCCGTTCCTTTCCTCTCGAAGAGCCCAACACGACCTCCTGTTCCTAAAGAGTCTGTTCTCCGAGAAACTGAACTCTGAGATACTCTTATCCCGATTCCCCTTACGCGTGCCTATCCGACCGACGCGCACTGCAGCACTGTTCGCTGAGAGTCGCGCCCGAATCAGCACGGTCCAGAACGGGTTGGTCTGTCGTGTCGCGAGAGAGACAAACTCATTCCTCGCTCATTCCAAAGACGACTTTTTCACGACCAGCTTTTTTGTGTACAAAGCTCATGTTATCAAATACGTTGCGAACTTACCACCACCTCCGGGCTACTAGTCACTGTTGGTAGGTGATTCTTATTGATTTTATATTTTTATGATTTTAAATATGTCTATTTTTAATGTTTTCTTATATTTTTTATTTCACTTTATACTTTTTTACGTGTTTTTAAAGTACCTATACATCGTTTATCTCTGTGTTCATATTTACTGTTTGTTCAGCTATTCTGGTTTACCTTGTATCATGATTTCTTTCCCACCTTACATGGGATTTTAAAACTTATGCTCAGTGGTCGTTCACACATTTTTTTTTCTTCATATTTTCACTTCATCGCCTATTTCATTATATTGTTCATTGTTTTCTATTTTAGTTACATGTGTATCTGCGTTTTTATCCCGGCGTGTGTATGCTGCCTGTGTGTGCCATATTTATTGTTTTTAGTCTTGTGACTCCGTCTTTTAGTGGGTCAAGTGCCTGTTGACGGTCTGTTGAATAAATACAAAATACAAATACAAATTTTTGATTCCGAATTATTGAAAAAAAGCATGGCTGGTACCTGTCAACGAACTTTTGAGACACCCTGTAGATTTGTAGGTACTTGGCAACTATAGACTCGCCACTCGGCGTAGGCGTAGTCAAAAATATGGGCAGTTCATAGTTAACCCTCGCCGGACGAGGGGGGGGGGGGAGGGGCCACGGCCCCCCCCCCCCCTTTGGTGCTGAAAGGTGGGGCCATACTATCTTTTGGCCCCACCTTTCAGATCGAACAAAAGTCCTAGAAAAGCTTTTTGTATGTTTCATTTTCTCTCTTACGCCATCAAAGGACGTAAATTTCACTCATGAGTGGGCTCAGTTTCGCATTCTGTCAATTTGGCGGTCAGCGTCGCTGGCACCGGTTCACGAGTATGGCCGGATCTTATATGGAATATCAGCGTGGGTTTACTTGAGGCTCTCGTAGGCCCAGCAATGGCTTGCATGAGACCCTCTTCGCCAGTGGCGGGTGGGCCCTGCCAAATGAGCGTGGCTCTACGACACAAAAGACCTCATGGGTTGGTGCTGTGCACCTCAGAAGCCCGGTGGTGACGCCGTATGCCGGCTTGGTTTCTTAAGGATTAGCGTGGGACCTCCGGGGCCTGCATAGAGTTTGCATGAGCTAGTACATATGTAATCTCAGAGGCCTGTATGTAATGTGTACACAGTGGCGATCGCTGGGGGGGGGGGCATCAGCCCCCCCCAAAGGCACATAAAGGGGGCCGTCATATCATTTGCCCCCCCCCCCTCAAGCAACCGATGGGCCCCCATAGGTGTATGGGGCCCTGTCCCTGATTCGATTGTCATGAGGCTAAAAAAAAAAAACATGCCCAGCTATTAATATAGCTCCCACACCGGTCTTTGAGCGTCCTACACTGACCTCTGATGGAACTTCAGTGGCGGTCAAGCGCCCACGTTGACCGCTAAGATCCCACATCGACCTCTGAGGCCCCACATCTGGCATATGAGGGCCTCTAACCGTCCTCAGGGGCCCCAACCGGCGTCTGAGGGTCTCACACCGGTCTCTAATGGCCTTGTTGCCGTCTCTGGTGTCCCAAGACGAACATTTAGGTGCCAATGAGGGCCCGCACTGGCTGCTGAAGACCCGATGCCGGCCTCTAAGGGCCTGCATTGGCCTCTGAGGAGGGCCCATCTTGGCCTTTGAGGGCCCTCTGCTGGCCTCTGGGGTCCAACGACG